ACATATATATATATATATATATATATATATATACATATATATATATATATATATATATATATATATATAACAATGTGTCAGTTTCTTATGAGTAGGTTCTTATGCATCATCAAGACAACATCCAACATCACGAGCTTACTATTATACAGCTTATACCAAAAAAAAAAAAACTCAGCAAATAGGCACGAACTAATTGAAGTTCTTTCGCTCATCTTGAAACTGGACATTTTTCTCAAAAAAACTTTATATCATACCACCTACGCCCGAAAAATACACCAATTTGCGTGATAATGAATTGATCAGACGGGCATGTAATAGACAACGGAATTATCGTGTTATGTTCACCGGGAGCATTATGAGGTCATAAACTTAAGACAAACTTGTGAAATATGCTTAATATAGATAACTCGGCTAGATCTTGTATGCAGTAGTTGATTTTAATCGTTTTCAAAGGCGTGCTTCAACAGGGACAGCGTCCATCTCGAAAAGTCCTTGCTTGGTACGTTCGTGGTATTACTGCTACAATTTAAAGGGATCTAACTATGACACTTCAAATAACCATCAATCACATGTAATAGAATTTTTCAAAATACAAGTAATTGATACAACATTGTAAACAATTCATATTAGTATATATCACAGTGAACACATACATTACATTTGCAATTATGTCAAGGAAGTTGGTTGAGGTCGTTGTCGGACAGGCAGTCAACCAATAGCAGGGTATGAAAGCCCGTTCGAACTTGACGCGTGATTGGTTCATTTTTTTCCGATACCAAAAAAAGAACAGAAGGCTTCTTGCTTATCACTAGAGAGCATAAAAACGCGATGGATATGTGAATGCAAAGCCGATATTTAAGTAGAAAGAAAATGAAAGTGTTCCTCCAATCTTCTTAACTGTTCCTCTTGTCTTTGACCGCGCTCATCAATACGCATGAGAAGATCATTGCAAAGAACTGAAATTGGAAACAACTCACAACAAAATTTTATGAATTGTATATCGTCACTACATTTCTCAATCAACATCCTTCAAACCCTTTCAGAATGGTTACAATTTTGACATGAGGTTTAGGTTCAAACTTTTCGTCATCGTTCGAATTAGATGGGTCTGGTATCTTCTCCCCTAACGGCTTATCGCGCTCGCCGCACGCGATCGCGCGCTATGAACGAAAAGATTTGAATTTCAAATGGAAGGATACGGGGAGTCGCCGCGGAACCATTGCCGCACGCCGTGGGAATTTGGGGAGGAGCTCCGTTACCCGAGTTACTTTATCACTAATTCTTCGGACGCTGACATCTGTTTTGAGGGCGGAGGACGGCGAGGGAGACTCCGTCCTAAGTCAGACTTGGAAATGGAGCGCCGTTCCATACGGTAACACTTCAAGTGCTACAGGAGGAAGCTGAGCGGTAGTTTTAACGGATAAAATAGATTCGAACTGAGTTTAGCATAACAATGGGCCTATTAAGACAACTTGATTATAATGGACACCTTTTTATTTCTGTGAGAAGCATGCAAACGTAAATAGTAGAAAACAATCACCTCAACTAGTAGAATTATTCCGGCTACGATGATCACATAAATGAAATTCGACTCTAGCATCTGCCAGATGTAAGTAGCACAGCCAATCTGAAAAAGAAAACAGAATCAGGAATCAGAAAATGCTTAGAGAACAGCGCCAAGCGAATGAATGGGGCCTTCAAAATCTCTTTCTCTCTCTTTGACAACAAAAGCGTCATCTGCGAGCTACAATGGTCAGGGCGCCCCCACATACATTCTACATGTACTTCACTTCTGTGCTGTATTGAACAATCTGCATAGGTTTTGTGAGAAATGACATTTCTCCCGATCAAAAAGCGAGAGGTAAACGTGAGTAGTGGAATTACAATTGAGATCAGCGGTGAAAGATCTCACCTCTCCCGGATTGGTTGAGCAACGGCAAGAGTTCGGATAAAAGCCGAAAATCGAATAGTCAGAACATCCTGAGGCTCCGCAGCATTTCAACTGAAATACAAGATCAGACCAAATGAAAATTGCGGCACGAAACACCGATTGCATTCTTCCCCGATCAATTTTGTTTATCGTATTTGCTGATTCGCGCTACCTTCCCAACATGACTAAAGCGAACTTGATACGATCTTCTAATGGTTTCTTACTGTATCACCTCGATGTCATCTACAACTGTAACCCTTAGCTAATGCCACATTCTACTACACTGAACTTTCTTCAATATCTTTGACGCTGAACCGTTGCGACATATGGATTTATACTTCCAGATGTGCTTTAGTTCATCTCCGGGCAACATATAAATTAACAATTATTCCGTTTGAATTACCACCCCAAAGAGATATCATCGCATATTTATATAATTTTTTGAGCATAGATGGTGCAGCGACAAACGGCGCACCTCATGCAGGGATGGTCACGGGTTCAAATCCTTAATCGATAATCGTCCAAGCCTTCCATCTTTCTTTGGTCGCTTAATTGGTAACAGACTAGTGCGGGAAGATAAAAACACTGACTTGTACCCGGCAATAGGTTAACCACGCATCAAATGCGCCACAACGATTGTGAATGGAAGTTGAGTGCGTGGGCGCATTCCTCAGACGGGATCGGTCAACGTCCCAAGCCTTTATTTTCATCCTTTCTATACAATTCCTCAAGGATGTCAACAAAGGGTGAAATTCCCAATTCATCCCCTCTTTAGTGCCGTCTGGAACTCGATCGCGCTTTAGTTGTGTTGCGTAGGCCAATTACAGGGTTACCATGACTTCACGCATGCCCCACTGGAGTAGCTGGCCGATAGCGGCACAGAAACTTATTGATTAGAGGAGCCATGGGCAGCTTGGGAATATGAATATCAGAAATAATGTTTACTGGAGAAAAAAACAATGTTTACTGGAGAAAAAAGTTCCTTGTATGTAAGCGGAATTCAACATATAAGTTGAGCTTCCTACATGGAAAGATGTTAGAAGGGCATACAAATCCTCAGAGCATTCCGTGTAAAGGCAAAAGAATTGTTCGGGACCGACCAATCACAGGGAAAACCAGAAATGAATCATTTTGAAGAAAGAAGAAAATAATATGGATCGGCTCTTTGCCTACACGTTTGAGATGCCTCTTCCGCTCCGGAGCTGTACCAACGAAACTCAGCAACAAATTGCTGATATCGCATCCCGATGTAGAGTGAGACAGTTTTGCCTTCGTCATGAACCTCTAACTAGTATCAGTGAGCCATTTGCAAAATGTGAGATGTTTTTCAAGCGACAGATTCCCTCGATACATCGGCTGACTTGGTTACGCTACACAAAGCAGCTAATTTACAACAATTATAACAAACATCAGTAAAAGTTGTATTTCTTTGAATTGTTGATTACTACTGTGAACGTAAATCACCTGCGCTTGAATATTGTCGAGTGTTTCCCGGATAGGCTGTGACGATTGATACTTATTCACTAACTCGTTACGCCATACAGTAACGAATCCGTCGCGTATCTAAAAATAGAACATACATTTTGGATTGGGTTCAATTATCGGTCAAAAAGAAAGCCATATTGTTTGCACAGCAGCATTATATATTAGAAGGGTCACCGACAGAGCCACGGCCTCAGAATTTTGATACGTGATAAACAACGTTTAGTTCTCCTCGGATTGTGCCATGTACTTGACATTCTTTCACAGCCGTATGGCTTGAGTGAGATTCGATCCCTGGCTCGTGAATGTGGCACTGACTCGACTTGCCATTGCAGTCATACCATGGACGACAAACGGAAAATCGCGAGTTTCCAGAATTACCCACTGATGTCTTTACATGAACTGACGATGCCTCAGATGAAGGGGATGGGTAACTCTCTCGAACGTGCTCATATTCTGATTTCAGGTTCCATTCGCAACGTCATATTCCCTTAACGTCTTTGCTCCGAATAGTGAACTCCTTTGTTTCGAATTCCGGATCACGATAATGGATACCGAACAATTATCCGCATGCAGACTAACATAACTGCTTTTGCAGTTACTTATTCCTCTAATGGCCTATGTTGGTCTCAACTCCGGGATTGTCATTCCGATTTACGGAGTTTTAGGAGGCATTCTTATAAGAATGTACGTGTCTCACTCTTATACTGTGCAAATACTAAAATCACGGGGAATTCATCCATACACATACATATTTCTGTAATACGTGCATGTGATTTTTGAAAACTTCTCCGAAGATCGGAAGAAAACCGATGAAATACGCTAAAATGATTTACACAAGAAATTTAGCGATTTCGATAGAAATGAAACATACCGAATTTTTGTTAACGAAGTACAGTACTATGGCCACGATTTCTGCGATGAAGAGAACCAGCACAAAGAAGAAGTACTGCAAAATGGGAGTATGAAAAGCGAAGCAATGAAAACTGTGAAGGAGTCATAAATATTGCTGTACGCAGCAAATATTCGCTGAATTTTTTGGTTTCGTCAACTACTTGCTAGCATTCGCTAGGGTTGTGAAAGTAGAGCAAGTAAGTAATTGTGAACGTATGGCTTCATTTTTCTGGTACAAAATGGAAGGTCCAAAAAAAA